TCAGTCTTATCCGGATCGTAGAGATTGCCATCGTCGCCCTCCATTGAGCCCGATGGAGTTGACATTGAACCCGCGCTTACCTTGCGAAATGTTCTCTCCGTAGGCGTGGTCGAACACGCCACCCTTCCGGCAGGTCTGGCCGATGGAGCGGCAGATGGGGTGACAGATGTTGGTGGTTGGTTCAGCGGCGGTGGACATGGGTTCGCTGCTGGTGATGAGGGAAGTGGAGGGAAAGAAGAGAGAAATTCTCGTTCTTCCTCTGGTGAGCGTGAACGACTGTGTGTTGGGATAGGACGTGCGTGGATGCTTTCCCGGCGTGGGTGCTTCGGTGTGGGACGTAGCAGCACGTATGCCCGTCTTGCGGCATCTCTGTAGAGATCTCGTTCAATTTCTGTTTGCCGCCTCTTCGCTAGTCTGTCAGCCCGTGTCCCTGTGGGTATTCGGTGTTGGTTTCCCTTGAACCGTTCGTCCTCGGGACGTGCATCCTGTTCTGGAATAGACCTGGCTTCTGCCTGCCGATTCCTCGCCAGTCTGTCAGCTTTGGGTTCCGTAGGTATGAGTTGTTGGTCCTCCTTGATCCAGTCGTTCTTGGGACGTGCAGCTTGTTTGGAAACGAGCTTGGTGTCTGCTTGCCGACTCCTTGCCAGTCTGTCAGCTTTGGGTTCCGTGGGTATTGGTTGTTGGTTATCCTTGATCCCGTCGTTCTCGGTACGCGTATCTTGTTGTGGGACGGCCGATGCGTCCCCCGTCTCCTGACGGTCGGCCTTGGGCCCTTTGGGTGTCCGATGTTCTGGAACGGATGAGGGCTCTCCTCTCCTAGTACCACTCCCCATGCCTCCGACCGGAAGGCCGTAGCCAACTCCTCTACCCCTTCCCCCCTCGAAAGTATTGAACGCTCCACCAGTCCAAGTGTTATTGAAGTTTCCTCTACCTATTTCACGGTACGGGAAGTTAGTGGAACTCCTTCCTCCCTGGCCATTATTTCCTCGACTTCCACCTCGTCCGCGCGGTAATCCAGACATGCCGTCAAGTTCTCCAATTCTGATGTCAACCCAGTTGAGATGGACCAGCGGTAAAGTATGTCGCTCCAACTATAAAAACGATCAGCGACTTCCATCCAGCAGTTTGTATCCCCAACCCAATGTTCCGGTGCCTTCGTCACCAGTTCACGACTCGCATCACATGCAACACCCAGCCGCTTCTCCACGCACCCAGCAAATACGTGCCGGGTCTCACCTATCTATTTCAGATGTTAGCTGCCTTCCAATGCACTACCACGTCCCTACCTTATCCCCCTTCTCTACTTCCAGCACAATCCAACCTCCTAATGCGCCCCCTCGCACGTTTCCGCAAACGCATCCTCTACGCCCGCGCCACACTGCGTCTCACCCTCTGCGCAGACGGAAAACGACGCTGCCGTAAAAGACGACTCCGCTACATTATTACCAATTTACACGATTTACGCGATGCAGCAATGAAGACCGCTGACTCTGTATCAAGGCAGCTAGACCACCTGTGGTGCTGAGATGAGGGTGAGAGCGCTGGCAGCTATCTTGTTATTCGTCACAGGGCTTATCTTGTTGTACGTGACGGCTATGCTGTTGACGGGCTCGGGATGAATGCACAGCGCTGGTTTTGATTCTGAATCTCGTCGTTCGACTGAGTTGTTGGCGTCGGGGGTATGACGGTGGCGTCTGTGTCCTCCTAATGTAGATGATGTTGATGAAGACAAGGGCGTCATCTCGGCTTTGTTGTCCGAATCCTTCAAACTGCTCGCGTCGGCGATACCATGCGCTGCACTCGCAACCTCTCATCTCGTTCTGTGCGCGATTAGCAGCACACACGCAAGATCTTCTTAGTCCCAAAACAACAGAATAGACGCATGCAGGATTTTAGGTATAATCGATTCTTCCACCCACTCCACCCCCATCCTATCCAATCCAATCCAATCCACCCCATATCTCTAATATCTAACAAGTAAAAAGTTTGGTGTTGGGTATATACAACTTAAAACAGCACAAAAGACCTCCCAAGTGAGTACGGTGCAACCAACGACATTTGCCCGCCAGAGCCAACGAAGGCATATTTGTGTAGACATCTACATAGGAAAAACAAAAAAACGATGCTGATAACAATCTCGATAGCTGAGTAACAAAAAGGAGAAGGAGGAGAAGAGGCTTATTAGTACGTATATATATGTGATGATGTAAGAGAGATGTTGCGGTAAGCAAAAAGTACCGTTCTGGTTGATACAGTATAAAGGAAATTGAACTTTGAACTGGGGGTATCAAGCTGCAAGGCCGGGTATAATGGGTATAGCGAAAAGCCGAGCTGAGTAGTAGTTATAGAAAGATAAGAAACGACAAACGAAAATTTGCGGTAGATAGGAGATATGTCGGAGATGGAGAAAAGGGAAATATCGCTGTAGAGTGTGGACTGTTCCGTGTATCGCGTTCCGTGTATCACGTTACGCCTTTGCCCGAAGAGTCCGACGCCGGTTTTGGTGACAATTTTTGCTGTCGCGGTGTACAGCATCAGATAGCTTCAAGGGTACAATTATCCCATCGACACGCTGGGGTCGTTGGAGCCGACAAAGCCCGTTGACATGCCCATGTCCATGCGCAGGAATTGGTCTTGGTGGCTGTCGAGACCGTCCATGCCGCTTGACATGCCCATGGAGTTGCCCATGCCGCTCATGTTGTTTTGGTTCATGGCGTGGGGGTCCATCATGGCGAGCGATTCTCGGCGACTGCTGTCAGCTGAGCCGACGTGCTGCACATGGGGCGAGAGCTGGTGCTGCTGGTGGGGCCGGAAGTCTTGGTTGCGCGACTGGTTCATGTGCTGGCGTGCGGCTGCCCATGCTTGGGCCTGAGCCTGCGCTTGGGCAATCTGGGCCTGCGTGATGTGCTGGGTGGGTTGCATGTGTGGCTGAAACTGTTGTTGCGAAGGATGCGGCGGGGTGGGTTGGAGGGGTGCTCCGTGGTGATGTTGGGGCTGGGGGTGGTGCAAGGCCTGTTGTTGGGCCTGGTGCTGCATCTGATGCATCGAGTCATCCTCCTCAATGGTTTGGGGCGTCAGGTCAATGTCGTCGTCGTCATCGTCGCCTTCCGCATCAACCTGATCGCAGTCTCCATCACCACACACCGTGGGCGGCGCGCTAAAGGGCATGTTGGATTCAACCTTGATCGGGCTGCCTTGCCTGGGCTGGTTCACGGTAGCAAACTGTGGTGGGATGCTAGCCATGGAGCAGCTTCTGGTACTGGTACCACCGGGCAATGGCTTCTGCGCGCCCATGCCGGAGACCGAGGCCCTGTTCTCGCGTATAGCGGTCCGCCACTTGTCGATGAGGCGGTCGTAGTCCCAGTTGCGGTAGTCCATGCCGTGCTTAGCAAGCTCCCTAGCCGTGTCGGTTCCAAGGTTGATGCTGATGGGCGATACATCGGGAGCGCCTGAGGTCCAGCGGTTGGCTTTCAGGTATTCAATCTCCCTGCGTGCGTTCCCCAGCTGCACCTCGGCTTCCCGTCGCCTGTCGTCGGCACGGGCATAGCAGCGCAGTATCTCAACCTGCCAGCACTCCTGCCTCGTCTTGTCTGACTGCTGTGTCCAGTGGTGGAAGGCGTCTGCAATGTGCCCAAAGAGGCGTTGTGGATCGTGGTCGAAGAGCGGTGGGGTGGGCAGGGGCGAGGTGGTGGTGGAGGGAGCGGAGGAGTGCGAGCCCGAGGGATAGACCTGGTTGATCTGGCGCTGGCGCTGGTAGGCAAGCAGACGCTCGCGGACCTGCTTATTCAGCGCTTCGAACTGCTTCTGTCCCGGCGGGGTGATGGACCATGACTCGGACGTGGGAAAGGGCGTGGGGGAGAAGAGGGTAGAGGGCGCGGGGAGGATCTGGAGGCACAGCGAGGGGAAGCTCTGGGTGTAGGGGTCGAATTCAAAGAGGCCGGAGCCGGATGCTTTTGCGCTGTTCTTGTTAGCAGGATATATGGTGAGTGAATTGAGGACATACTTGGCTACTTGCACGCTCTTCAGCAGCTCCCGCAGCGCCATCTCGGTGGCACTCGCAATCTCATTCTCCTCGTTCGACTTCTGCCTCTGGTCCAGCTCGGCCTTTCGCGACTGCCGCGATACGTCCCGGCGCGGGTCTGGTGTTTTGGTGTTGAGTCGTGAGGGCCGGTGACCGCTTCCCCAGCTGACATCCTTGAACTGCCCCCTCGTCTTGCCCACCTCGAGCGGCTCATCGTCGTCTTCCGGGCTCTGCACGAGGACCGAATCCTCGCTCGCTATGCGCTTCTTGTTCGCGGGCGTGCTCGTGCCGCTGTCGTCTCTCCGCGGTGTTGACACGCTGCCCTTGGCCTGCCGCCGTGTGATGCCGCCGCGCAGCTTCCGTATCTCGTCGACATTGTGCACGCCATCGGGCGCCTTTGGGTTCTTGGGGCGGATGTACAGGTCCAGATGGCGCCCCAGACTGGACGAGGTGAAGGCCTGGCCGCAAAAGGGACAGTTCTTGTCCTTGGCCGCCTTGAGCTGTGGTTCGGCGGTGGAGCGCGGTGTGGACGATTCGGTTTCGCCCATGATGGCTTGGAGATATTATTACTCAGGGTTCCCAAGCTCGAGCTTATCTCGATACGCAGAGTCGTTCATGCGTGCCTGCAGCGTGGAAGGATTATAGCTGCAGCTATGACATTACTATTACGGTCGGAAGGGGTAGTATACAAGGAAAGATGGGCATAGTGCACGCCAATGGCTAATGAGAGGAGACCAATTGGACGCTGCAGGCAAAAGGAGCGACGCGTTCGTTGGAGCAATATTATCTCGCTGCGGCTTGGCGCGAAAAGCTGCCCCTAATGCCTCTGCCGGGCACTATGATGCGCGCGCAGGAGGCGCGCAGTCAGCCGTGCGTGCAGCGGGAAGCCAGCCCGCCCGAACCAAAGGGCCCGACCTGTCTGACAGGACTCTACGGACTCTGGACGCGACGCTCAAATTGCACTCGCTCGTGCTCGCGTCTATTTTCGCTCTTTTCCCTCCGCTCTGGCCAGCCTCGCCGCTGTCCGCGCCGCAATGTCCTCATACTCGTCCATGCCGCCGTCAAGCTTCCTGAGCTGCCCTCTAGTCAGCCGAAAAACGCTCCCCGGAGCTAACCCTGGCGCTTCATCCTCCGACTCGCTGCTGTCGTCAGCCTCGCCCTCGGACGCGTGAACCCCTGGCGCTAGCTTGTACGCCGACTCCCTCTGCACCACCGTTCTGCGGGGTGTTAGTAAGAACTCTATTTATTGATTTCACTATGCTCACCTCATGAAGAACCGGTCGTGTGTCACCACCAGCAGCGCTCCATCGTACTCTCGCAGCGCCATCACGAGACCCAAAATAGTATCAGCGTCCAGGTGCGTCGTCACCTCGTCGAGAATGAGCAGTTGCGGCGGCGGCCATAGCAACTTGGCAAGTGCGATCCTGACCTTCTGCCCTCCCGACAGGAGCACGAGCGGAACGTCCGACACCGTCTGGCCATGGAGTCCCAGTCCACCCAGCACTGTCCGCGCATCCTTCTCCTGTGCGCCCTCGCCAATACTTTCCATCACGTGCCGGAGCGCTGTCGTCTGAGGGTTGGCAGCCGCGGTCGCAGTGAGCTCTTCGACCGACTGCTGCGAGAAGCGGCCAATCTTCACCCTTGCATGGCGCGCGACACTGCCACATGTGGGCTTGAGACCGCCCTCTTCATCACCGCCCATTATTATGGAGACCAGCGTCGTCTTCCCTGAACCGTTCAGGCCTGCTAAACCTACCCGGTCCCTCGGATGTATGGTCAGACTGACGTCGGTCAAGATGGGCAATTTCTTTCGCCCAGGGTATGCAAATGACACCTTCTCTATACTTACCAGTGCTCCGGGAAACTTCAACTCGGGCGGCTGATGTGGGAAGGAGAGGTGCACTGGGGGATCAAAATCAGGTATCTCAATCTCCGCCCGCTGCGTCGTGTGATAGCCTGCGAGATCGCGGTTCAGCTTGAAGCGACCACCTTTGGCACTGACCTGCAGCCCCATTCTATCATCAAGTTTTTTCTTCCGAGACGCAGCCTGTTTCAATTTCTTGTCGTCTCCCTTGTCCTTGGCGGCCTTGATGTTGCCTGCGATGGTCTTCTCAATGTGCTTCTTCTGCTTGTCCTGGGCATCCTTCATCTTAGTCATGTACCTGACCTTCTTCCATCTTTCGCGCTCGTACAGACTGAGGTTACCGCGGAAAGTCTCGAGAACCTGGTTGCGGAGGACAATGAGCTCTTCGGCTACCGCGTCTCCAAAGTCGCGATCATGGGTCGTTATGAGGACAGTCGTGCCTTTGAGATTGCGGATATAGTCTTGTAGCCAGATAATTGACGGCAAGTCTAGGAAGTTGGTGGGCTCGTCCAGAAGTAGTACGTCCGCATACTGTGTGAGAGCACAAGCTAGATCGCAGCGCGTCTTCCATCCTCCTGAGAGTTCCGACACGGGCCTGTCGATGCGATCCTCCTTGAAGCCGAGGCCTAGCAAAACCACGCGCGCTTTTGCTTCTGCCTCAGCTGCATCCATGAGTTCGAGAGATGCTTGCACACCAGCAAGCAAATCCGCAGCTGCTTGAGTCTCTTCGCTGAGCTTTGTGGCATCGATCTCGGTCTCCTGCAGCCGCTTCTCAGATTCTTCGAAGCGCTCTTCAAGCTTAATCAGCTCCTTCCTGGCTGCTTTGCCCCGAGCACCACTCCTCCTCTCAGCAATCCGATGACCCTCTCTCAATTGCAAACCTAATCTTTCATGCCCAATACGCCTGTACGCCTGAACCGGTGCCATGGAATCAACAGAGTTCTCGACCGCCTCACTAAGCAATTTCGCTTCTCGCACGTAGCGCTCCCGAACCCGATCACTCCGGACAACATGCTGCAAGACAGTCTCGCTCTCCAGGCTCAACGCAGCCATCTCATCACCCAAGTCGTCTTCCCTCGTCTGACCTAGAAGCAGAATGCGCGTACTCCATGGTATACCCGGAACCAGACCATCGGCGATGGCTTTGAGGAGTGTAGACTTCCCTGTCCCGTTTCGACCTACCATTACATAGTGGCGTGCTTCTACCAGGTGAAGTGTTGTGCGTGATAGTAGTTCTCGGTTGGCGACTGTGATTGATAGGTCTTTGACGAGTATCTGCATGCATCAGTATGGTGTATGAGGGAGAGGTGAGGGCACGCGCCTACCTCTTTCGACGCGGGTGCATCGACAGAATCGACTGCGTACCGCGATTGCTGCGCCGTGACTGTTATGTGTCCACCGCCGTGATGCTCTTCCGCGGCTGGTGCTGCCTCTTTCCCTTTGCGTACCATTGTGAGAGGGATTGCCGACTGTTGAGCTTAGCAGTGTCGTCGCTGCAATGCAGTCTTCAGGTTTGGCTGTCTTGGGCATCGGCGACCTTCTTCCTCATATACACGAAAAAGGACATGGCCAAGCAGGGCGCGGTGCTAAGACGGATGGCGCTCGGCTCAGGATGAGTCGACGCCGTGGCTTCTGATTGGCTAGATGGGTGATGACTAATTGTGGAGGGAAGGCGCAATGAGACGACCAGCGACATCATCTCAACGCTTGCTTACGGCTACTGACAATTTCTCCTATTGATCTCCAAACTCTTCCTTCAGCTCCAAAAATTCTGTCATATAACCCACCAGCTCCTTCAACTCCTCATCATTATCGTCCTCGTATGTCGCGTCTTCCGGCCATCTCCCTCCGGCTCGCAAGATGGCGCTTCTCGACTCTCCGGTCTCACGTACTCGCTCTTCCCAGTATGGCTGCTCAAGTTTCTCCTTCAAAAACGCGTAACGTTTCATTCGGGCCTGCTCCTCGGGAGTGGCGATGGTGTTCGAATTCCGTGATCCTCGTCGCGCCTTTTTTCTCTTCTTCTTCGACGTGGCGTTGACTTGGTTTGTATACGCCGCCCATAATATACGACGTTGCTCCGAGTGATGGACTTCTTCCCAACCTGGGACGCCTTCGGGGAAGTTATAACCCATGGAAAGTGCTTGGCGTTGTAAATCCGCGATATGTTCGAGGTACTGCCGGTCTGATTCTCGTTGCTGGATCGCTTTGAGTCGTTTCGTTCTGGCAGCTAATCGTTTCGAGCTCAGCGGTGTCTTCTTGTCACCGCTCGCATCTCTTTCAGGGGAAAAGAGAATGTCAGTGTAACCCATACTAGTCAACCAGCCATCCAATACCTCGACATCTCCCTCTAACCGCGTTACCTCCGAGTCTTCCAACGCTTCGTAGCCAGAGACGTTCAGCGGGAAGGGTACTTTCTCTTCTTCAGCTTTTTTTCTGTACCCCGCGAGTTTCAATATCCACGCTCTCTCCATTTCAATACTCCTATTCAGACTCAACGCCTCCCTCGTCGCATTCTCGTCTTGCACGTCCGAAAAGTACGGCGCGTTATGTTCCGGGATCTGCACCCCATTCTGCCTAGCCATCTCCCGCCGCTCCTGCTCCCTCGCCTCCCTCAAGCTATCATCCTTCCATGCCTGTTGTCTAGCTCGCAGCAGCCGTCTACGCTCGTGCGTCGTTATCGCCACGTGGGAACCAGAAAGAGTTATGGTACCGGGTGGACCGGCGCCACCTGTGCAGAGATAGCTTTCATCGGCGTCATCGTTCGATGTGTAGGTGAGGAGTGTAGCTTGTTGGCCGTCGATGGTCGAGGTGTAGATGTCAGGAGATTTGTCATACGATACTATGCCTTGAGCGTGGGATTTGGGTGCCGGACCGGGTGGGTAGGGGGTTAGACATGTGGTGCAGAAGGGGGATGATGATGGGCTGTCGAAGTGGCACAGGGGACAGCGGGTTGTGCGTGGTGTGGGTTGGGTACGCGATTGAGCATTGGAGTGCTTCCCAGGCGTCTTCGCGTTCGGTGCATCCCGCTTTCGACTCCGCAATGCCCTCAATTCATCATCGGAGAAAGGCGTGAAAATCGTTCCTTGTCTCCGCTCTTCTTCCGTCAGTTCCTTCCGCATCGCTTCATCCACCTCCTGAGTATCAGTTCGCGTGGCAGAATCCACCCTTTCCTTCTCTTCTCGTGTAGCGCTGTGTATCACACTTTCTAAGCCCGAACACTCCCCTGGTACATCCATCATCTCAAACACATCTCTCACTACACCTGCTCTATGTACATCGCGGACATATCTTGGAATCCCTCTACATAGCCTGTGTACGGTTTTAGATACACAGATGCAGGTATCTACGCCCTTCATACCAATGTGCGCTAAGTGACTGAAAGTACACTTTGCGGCAGCGGGTATGATGCCGAAGCGGGCGGTTGGCGAGGTGGGGTAGAAGGAGTTTGGTATGTGGCGTTTTTGTCGTTTTTGTGGGGGTTGATTGGGTTCGGAGTGATGATGTGGCGGGTGTGATGTGTATGGTTGAGGGGGTTGTGATGGGGCTTGGTGGTAGTAGTGGTGGTGATTTGGGGCGATGTCTGGGCCGGGATGGTCGTCAACATCGGTTCTAGTTCTCTTCCGTGATATTTTCTGGGAAGGAGGAGGGTTGTAGCTTTTGAGAGACGCTGTTTCAACTTCCGTCGTGACGAAATTCTGTGGTTTCCTCTGGTATAACCCAACACCGTGGTCTCTGCCAAACGCAGCGTCAACTTCCGCTATCGTCACCTTTCGTACGCGACTCGCATCAGATATCTTTGGAGGAACATGTATCCTTGAAGTTGCGATGTTTCTCATTCGAGCGCATCTCCTCGCGTAGGGGTCGCATGGAGCGCTGCAGATGGGTTTGGCTCGTCGTCGTTGGGTCATCGTACTAGCAGTGAGAGAATGTAGGATGAGCATTTCGGTACCATGGCTCACGAGTGTTGATGATGCGTGCTAGATCGGGATAAAGGTGAGTGTGTACAAAGACTTTGTATGGTATAGCGCGAGTGATAAGAGTGGCGAAATCGAACAAAGGGTGGTTTGGCAAGACAAAGCGTAAGGAAAAGGCCGGACAAGAGGATGATGACATGGCTCCTGTCACTCGAAGGTAGGTGAGAGCTGTCACTGTGCGAAGTAACATCCGGGTATTCAGTTGGTCTTCAACATCAGCAGATTTCGAGCCATGCGTAGTACAGGACAAATAGAAAAGTCCTCCACAGCCACTCAACTTCCCCTAGCCCTCAAATCCGCCTGCCTCCCCCTCATACTCTGAAAGAACCCCTGCATCAACCCCAGATCCATCCGACTAAACTCCCACCACCCCTCCTGCGCCGCATCCGTAGTCCCCACATAAACCTCCCTCGGATGCAACCTCGCGCACGGCCAAAGTCCAAATGGACGAACAGACAGCGTCGCGAGCAGCGGATACACTTCTTCAAGAAGCAGGCTCGACAAGATCTTCATCTCGCCTTTGTATCCCGGCGATACTTGATCGATAAACTCCTGGGAAAGCAGGTCTAATGTTGTGTCGACAAGACGCACATGTCCGCCATTACTTCCCCATGACGCACCATACGGCGGCGGCGGTCTGGTTTCCTCGGTTGGGGGGTCGACGTGCGATTTGAACGCTTGTTTGTCCACGACGAGGAAATCTTGCGTCCACATACGGCCTAGCGTGGGTAGCATGGTGAAAGTGCGCTTGAAATGTTGTTTCGCAGCCGCGATGTCGCCTTCCGCGATCCCAGCCTCTCGGCCGTCGATGAACATGATTTTGGCCTTGCTCTTGATAGCGTCGAAGCCGGAGATCCAGGTTCCAGATCGCATGACGTCTTTGGTGAAGTTTTCTTCGAAGGTAGCCCATTCTTCGTCTGTTTCCGAGTAGGTTAGGCGGTAGCAAACGAAACCCCATGCATCGGGATTTCTCTCGAGATTCCGTGGGTTCTTTGCGTAAAAGTCCATGCGCTCGCGTAGGATGGTGATCCAATGTTCTTGCGCGACGGGCTTGGGTGGACCGCAGAGGGCGAGGCGGGTCTCATCGCGGTTCTTCTTGCCTTCTTCGTAGTGGCCGAGGAGATTCTCGGTGTCGCGAAAACGGGGGTGGGCTGGCTTGGTGAGTTGGCCCATTATGTCCATTTGTTCTGCTAGGGAGGGTGGGTTGGCGGCTTGGTCGGCGGCGGCTTTGTCTTCGGCTTCTAGGATGGCTAGTTGGTGCTTGAAGGACTTGCTTCCCATGATTTGGGACCAGGTGTTTTTGCGTTGGGCTACGGGGAGGTCGGTGAAGGCGTTGGTGGCTGTGTAGCCCTTGAAACCGGTCATTGGGACGCCGATCGTGTACTCGAGTCTGGTGAGCATGCCTCTGAGATCTTGGACACACTCGTAGTACTTCTTGCCGGCTTCTCCTATAGCTACTTCGTCGGTTCCAGCGGTTTTGAGAGCATCTTTGTACTGTTCGAAGGCACGCGCTTGAACCTCATCGACACGTTCTACAACCCATTGATGCGTTCGCGTTGACATGTTTGTCATCCCGTCGTTCCAGTACTCTGCCCACATGCCAGCAAGATCCAATCTCTCTTCGACGCCATTTTGTTCGCGACGCAAATTGACTGCCTTTTGGAATTCGACATATCTGTCGACCATCCAGTTGAAAGCGTCGCGAGTCCGGGTGTGGACCTCCTCGTGACTGAACCATTCAAATATCTTGGTGAGGTCATTGATCAATTCGAAGAGGTTCCTGTAGTTGGCAGGGTCATCCATCTTGCGTTCTACCCAGCGATCTCCGCTGATTGGCACCATACCAAGCAAGAGCTTTGCTTTGAGAGGGCGTAGACGCGCGAGGAAGCCCATGTGTGGTGATCTTCGGAGCTCTGGGATTTCTTGCCTCTTCATCAGCGGTGCAATGCGGTCCATGCAACTGTAGTTGTTTCTGTTGAAAGGTGCAGGAGCCCATTGACTGTATGGCGCGGTCAGCAGCCCGTATTCTTCTTGTGTCATGAGTGGGAAAGACGGACGGCCGCCGCCGGATCTGCGACCGCCAGTACTGTAGTCACTAAAGCCCTGTAGGTTTCGCACTGATACGAGGTCCTCCTCTTGTATTTGTTAGTGTATGGTCATGAGTTGAATGGAGGTTTAGTACCATAAACAAGATTGAGCAGCTGTTCGTGACTCCATGATGCATGGTCACCGAACCAGTCCTTCATGTGCTTCTCCGCCGCATCAAGATCCATATTGCGAAGGCTTTCTTCCATTGTCTCTTTCCCTGCAGCGGTAGCGGTATGCGATGTGGAGGTGAATTGTTGATAGCGGACTATGGGAATCTGTCTTTGCATTTGTAGACTCGAAAACAGGTACGGTGTAGAACGAGCTATGCTACATCTGGGCACGCGCCAGGCTGCAATGCGCGAGGCCTGTCGGGTCAGCCTGAACGAAGCCATGAATAGAATTTTTTCAAGGCAACGAACGCTCGAGCGCGGAGCCCAGAAGACGTTCACGGGCGGCTGCCTCAGGGTGAATGTAAGGCGTGCCGCGCCATCACCGAAAAAGGAAAGGCGGATCACCACTAGTTTCCGCGGTGCCACTAGGCAGCGATCTGGACCAGAACAGTTCCCGCCCCAAATCGCTCGTTGCTTTTCCCTCGCACGAGATGCTCTGCGGATGCACACTTCCACTCTTACCCATGCGACGCGTGATGGGTATCATATATGCGGTTTCTGGAGTGCCCAGCACCGAATACAAATGTATTGTCGTATCTCTCTTGCAGTTCACAATATAGCGAAGTGGCTTGCCTTCTCCGTTGCGACCCACAAGCATACAAAATGTACAAGTAATCCGGACAACACACTCTGACCTCACTGGTTGATTGGCGCCAGAACTCCCGCAAAGCCATGCTTTTGTCTATCTCTCTTGCGCAGTACCAAGCTGTCCACATTCATTCGAGACTGCGACTCCAAATGAGCTAGTGTTGCGTCACGAAGACCGCAATATCCCTGCCCATCTTGCTTTCGGGTCGCACCATGGCTTCCTCGCTTTCATTTCCAAGGTCTGTGAGCCCTTCAATGCCGTACTTTCTGTTGCTACTTGACTTATTCGAGGATGTGCCAAAACGCTTCATCTCAAATCTGCCGCTATATGATCGATCGGACTGTGCGCGAGGCGAGTCGGAAGCCTTGTCGTGACTTCCGGCGCTGCTCCAGACTCTAGGAAGGTAGGTTTTGATGAGGACTTTGAAGGTCGATGCCGAGCTGCATATGATGGCTGCAAAAACACAGGGTTAGCCTTGACAGATTTGATCAAAGATTTGAGAGGAGACATACCTGCGTAGATCTCGATGCTGCACCAGTTCAACGAGTCGGCCATGTAGTACCAAATATCGGCTTCATCGGAGAGGAACAGCACGTAGTAGAAGCGCACACAGCCAGCTGCAACTGCGACCAGTCCTACCCCGAGAAGAGCGCACAAAGCGATCTTTTGACCGCGCGGCATCTGGAGCTTCCAGACGATGTGCATTGGTAGAATGTATATGGCGAAGTCTTGAACAATGCTGTAGTGCGCGAGAGTCAACGAGACTGCATGAAGTTCGTACTTTGGTTGCAATGCTTACTTCATGATGCCGTTGATGTTGAAGAACACTTGCTGCGTGTCCTGCTTCAGGCACTTCTCTGGATGCAGAGCCTGGCCCGCAGGATCCCAAAACAGCGACGGCGGCGTGCAAACGAACAGCAACACAAAGAACGTTACGATCGAGAGTGCAGCGACCCATGCCATTAGGAAGTACACAATCCATCTCGTGGGTCGTCGAGGGTCTAGTCGATGGTAGAAAACGAGGATGCTGAATTTGACGAGGCATATCGCTACAACGTAGAGTAGGCGTGTCGCGAGATTTGCCTTCAACATAGGAGTGAGGTCTTCGTTGGAGATGTCGGGTGCTGTAAGGCCGTCAGCTGAAATCCGAGCAGATGGTCAGTATTGCCTGCTTACTGTGCTTGCCTACACCGTACCAACCGCCTGCGAACGAGCTGTTAGTCAGTCTTGAGCTCAACCACGCCTTCTATATGAGATTCGTAGACTTACAAACCATATTAGCGACTGACAGCGAGATGGTGAAGAATGCGCCAGAAATGATCAAATCTGATTTTGGCTGTCAGCATGCTGCTTGGGAGTGCTGGCTATAGAGGTCAACTCACAGTCGTCGGTAGCCAGTTTCAGCCGTATCAAGCGTACGCGAACATAGACGCGTAGGAATACTACGACACTGGCGATTGCGATGAAGGGGATGCCGATGGCGAATAACGAAGACTGCTTGGTATCACTCTCGAGCCCGCGAGGCTGTATTCGACGAGACATGTTCTGCAGTGGAGACATTTGCAATGGTCAAACACCAAAGAAGAACAGATGCGTGTGGAGAAGGTGTCCTATCCAAAGCCAAGTGCCACTCCAGCCACAGGTGAAGACATAACTACACCAATTGGCCTACTCGGGGCCACCCGCCGTGCCTCACGGCGTGGGAGAACAGGCTGGCGATCGTTATGTCTGTTGGTAAATCACATGGTTGTCGTTTCGCCCCGGTGCAACGGCCTTGGACGCCTATGCAGTCGCGGCTCGAGATGGTATCTCTTTCATGTCTGATCACCATCTCACTGGAGCAAGTATGGCTATCCCCTGGCCGCGCTAAGATTGCCGTTGCATTATCTGAATAGAAGCAACTTTTGGTGGTCTGTGAGGCTCGGTTAGGATTTTGACGCAAAGATGAGCTCATACTCGGTAGTGTCGCATAAACGTCCACGCCGCACTGACTCGAGAGCGGACATTACCCCACGCCGTATGCCGTGGCTAAATCCTACACAAGGGACCTGCCGCTTAGGATGGCAGGCAGCTCCGATGGGATGTTATTCCCGGCTGAAGGATGCGTGAGCCGCGTACGCTGTTGCATGAGACTCGTCGAAGGCATTCTGAGCAGGAAGCGATTTTCATGATTTGATCGCGATGAGAACGAAAGCTGGGAATTTCGTAACGTAGCTCTATTCGCGTTCTAGGAGCGCCAGAGGAACTTTAGGATGACCGGCTGAAAGAGACCGTGCATGCGCAGTATAGATCCTTTCACTCCTTGAACAGGTCTTGAAGATGGCATGCTCAACAGGAGCTCACTCCTCGTCGCTCACTTCTTAGTCGCGCCGATGCAGCTCTCCATTGTCACCATGCGTCTGTTCTCCTTCAGTGCAATCAACTCAGCTCGGAAGTCATCTTCCCAAGCATCTTGCAGTCTCTTTGGCTTCCAACCCAATAGCTTACGTGCAAGTGCCGCTTTCGTAGCTTTATGCCCACCCCAACCGCGCTCGGCGATATCACGACGACCCGCAGTGAGCTTGTCGGCAATCTCATGCAGCGGCACAGATCGAATCTCCTTCTCCTTGGGAGTACCTTCACGTGGCAAGATACCGTCAGCGAATGCTGCGTCCAGACACCCTTGGTTGATGTCCTTGATGAGTGTCCGCCCGACGGCCGCGAACATGACGCCATTCTTGCCGGATGGGAGGTAACCGACGCCGCGATCTTCGCGTTCGAGGATCTTGCGTACGAGGAGGACATAGATGTCGGCGAGATCGATGACGTGAACCCAATCGAAGTTCGCTGTTTCATTGAGCTTCCAACCGTATCCATGCTGTACAACGTACATCATGATCAAGGGAATGACCAGGCCTTGCTTGTTGAACAAGCCGGTGCCTTCGCCAAAGATGCATGGTGTGTTGATACTGATAGCCTGTACGCCAGTGGCATCAGCAGCTTCCAAGACGCCCACTTCGGTTGTCCGCTGAGTGTAGGGCTCCATCCCGTCGAGCGCTCTCATGAAGCTGAAGATCTTGCCTTTGTCCGTCTCGTCGTTCCATTCTCGTATGGGTCGTGGAGGTTGCGATATGGGACGGTCGGACAGATTGGTGCAACCTGATATGTGCAGTATCCATGGCGCCGGCTTGCCAGCATTGATGCCGCGAGCGAGTCCATTGACAAAGGCAATGGCGCCTTCAGGAATGAAGCCAGAGCCTGTGTTGATGATGATGTCGTAGTTGGACGCTGTGTCTTCGATGAAGGCTACGTCTTCCAGACCGGACCATTTGATGGTGTTCACACGGGAGCCGTATACGGTTTTGAGCTTCCGAGCTTGCGTTTCGTCGCGGATGAGGAGGTCAAAAGTGAGATCCTTGATACTCGGTGCTGTGCTTGCAATGAGCTGGGCGAGAACAGTGCCGCCAACATATCCTGTAGCGCCCGTGAGTAGAATCTTGCTCATTGTGAGATCTAGAAGGATGTCCAATAGGTCCGAGAGATGTAATGATCAACCGAAATCCATTTGCTCCCTCAACGAATCTTGTCTTTCGAGACAGCTCCTCGGAGACTGACTCGTAGTCATGCTTCATAGTGGGTACCATGCTGTGGGAAGCGACCCCGGCCATGTAGGATTCTTACACATTGGGAAATAACAACGTCGCGTGGGGTTGGGCAAGGAGCTGAAAGGATTCTTCCGGTTAACCGAATTGTTGAGCATGCATCGGCCGCCTGTCAACTTCCGATATGCGTCTTTGATCAACAGTTGTGACCGTGGGAGGTGACCAGGTAGCCGACACTCAGAAGAAGAACGGAATGTCTGGTCGTTGCGGTCAGACGAAGGGCGGCTATAAATGCGAGCAACATCCTGTCTACCAAGCGTTTGAGTTGTAGTCGACTTGTTCCTGAACACACTGTCAATCTGGACTGTATGAGGTAAATCCTCCGCTATTCCAGGGGAAGATGCGTTCGTGAGGCACAGCAAGATCGGCTCATGTGAGAGGGAGGGGGTGCACGACCGTTGCTAGTCAGAGTAGAGCTTCCTGGTCGCCACAGTGACCTCGACGAAGGGTTGTTGAACGCCTGACACGTTCATATGTTGGTTTCGCGAGAGCAACATGAGCAGGCTAAGGTCGGATCTCCCTACCGTGTGAGGACCAATGGCCGACCGAACTCTTTCGCGTTGATGCAACCGCAAATCATAAGAGATTCGGAGTTGTCGCAAAGCTGCTATAAACAAAGGTGGCATCCAGTATTTGGTTGGAGCGTGTGGACTACGTCACCTCATGGCCTGAGAATTGACCAGACGCCGCATGGTCGTGCATACTTCATGCACGTTGTCGTCCATCGCAAGAAACGCGTTAGATTGGGGTTCGCATCTGCACATCTGGCAGTATGCAATCGCGCAATGCGATGGCTGCGCGTAGTGGCTGACGCGACCTATGTTGTGTAGATGGATGAGTTGAGACGGATGGGTGATTGATCGTGATCGCACGACGCGTCTCTTTCCTAGCTGACTAGCGCGACGCTAGTTCGCGTCGACATGACGTAACCATCGAGACTCACAAACCCATGAAGATAGTAAAGAATAACTATCATACACGATGCTAGTCTTACCGTGCGCATCGTTCGGTGCCCCTGGGCCATCTCCAGTCCCAACCTTCGGCATGCTTGCGACATTCTCTATCATTGGAAGGCTACCACACGCCATGTAGGACCCTGGAGTTACTCGCTAGCTTCCCACATGATAGCGACCAACTTATCAAACTATCGTATTTGTCTCTACCATCGTTTCCGTTCATCTCAGCACTTGTAAAGGTCTATGTAGCTGCCTACCACTATCGTCGCGTGTGTTCCGGCCCCCATTTGATATCATGTAGTTGTCTACCACCGTATAATCTTGCAAGGGCTTTGCTTCGCCTACAAGCTCAGGGAGTTGTTCGAGGGGTTGAGAGAGTTGTTCGAGAGTTTGGATCTGGAGCAGAAGCAGGCATACTTGCTTGCGCTTCGCGGATACACTGCCGCCACTCTCGTGCTCGAAGGCTGCCCGGGCACCGGTAAATCTCACACTCTCCGCGCCATCTGCGTCGCAATGGTCCTCATGGGCTATCACGTCTTCGTCAGCGCCCATTTCAACAATGGCGTTGACGCGGTCTTCGAGAAGGTCGCCAAATGGGCACGGAAGGTCGCCAAATGGGCACGGAAGAACCGCCCGCAATGGATGGAGGAGGGCGTTTTGTGTCACGTGGGAGCCAGCACCGTCGATGAATCGCTCTTCAAGAGACTCAACCGTCACTGGGAAGACCCCAACGTCGATGAAGACTACTCCGATGGACTGATCAGCTCTATCTCCGCGTTCAACATCCCCAATTGCGCCGCGTACAAATTTGCCAAGTAAGCTCGCGCCAACCCGACTGAGGAGTCATGCCTCATCTACACCAAGTACGCCGATGCGAGGGCCAAGTAGAAGTGCAAATTTGAGACCGGTCACGTGAAGGTCTCGGGCGCTACGATGTCTCGCGGCTCAGCCATCCGGGAGCTCATGAAGGCATGCATCGGCAAGCCTCGACTAGTCGCTGCCACCTCCGCAGCCTCTCAGCGTGAGGTCATACAGCGTATTCTAGAGCTGTCAGATGTAGACAAGTTCGACATGGTCCTTTTTGATGAGGCCTCGCAAGCTACTGAGGCGTCGTTGATGCTCATCTTGACCACGGAATGGTTCCTGGGTGTGGCGATAGTTGTCTTGGGTGGAGAGCATCTTCAACTTCTGTCCGTCGTCAAGTCCAAAGGTGAGAGCCGCGTCGGTAACATTCTCAAGATCTCGCGCCTTGAGCGCTTGATCAAGGTCTACCACGACCGGCCCGTCATCGATCTCATCTGCAGCTACCGTTGCCAGGTCCAGACATGCAGACACGCCTCCGCGGGATGAAGCTCAATATAAGCGGCGAGTCACCAGATTGATGTGACGAATGTAGGTCAACAGGCTTCTACATTCACCACTGCACGCTTGAGCGTCTGCTCCACACAGATGCCAGGCGGAGACATTAGCACAAGATGATCATCTGCACTAGACAAAATCACTGCGAGTACCTCCTGGGTGACATGTATCAATCACCACAAGAGAATAGGGAGAATATGTAGCAGTCTAGCACTACTCATTCAATCAATACTTACCCTCACCCTCACTCTCACCCATTGGCCAATCGCCGGCAGCGAAAAGAGCGGAAGTCATTCTGGTGTGATGTAAAATTGTTAGCATGTCGCAACAGCAAGGATTGGAATGATCTGAACTCACAAAAAAAAGTTCAGCCACCGTCCTCGGAGGAAAACAGTGGCGGGCAGCCGCAGCTGCCCGTTGATAGGGTGAAAAACAAGTAATAAGCCTCCGATCCTCCCCAAAGGTCGCAAACGTTAATTCGCACTTGTAGGCGGAGAGCCCCCTATCATTTGGAAAGCTCCATTACAAGCAGGGTGAAGAGGGGTGTGTGAAAGAGTGTGTGCGCCATCGCGTCAAAATGGCTAATGAGAGGAGAAGAAGGGTGGCGGGGGACGAGCAGATTATATACTGGCGGGTGGCGAATCTCGTGCCTGCTGCGCTCGGGCGCTCATGACGTATCGGTGGTACAGAAGTCGGCAGAGACTTCCGAGGTGTACCCGGAGGACGAAAGAGGAAGGAGCAGTCAGTGTCTTCACTTTCACCGACGGTAAGCAAATCTGAGAATGGAATGTATTGCAGCGCTCGACGGGGAGCGTGAAGATACTAAACGAAGCCTACAGCAGCAAAGCATAGAGCAGTAATAGCCCAGGCGTATACTCAAAGTGAAACAGAGAAATCTCAACCCCATCACTCCTCGTCCCACCCCCGAACAACCTCCCACCTATTCTCCCCATCCTCACGAGTCTTGTACACCGCCCTCACCCCTTTCAATCGCAGCGCCTTGATAGCCGACGCCCTATACACAAAGCCTTCATCTTCCTTTTCCGTTTCTTCCGCCCAACGCCAGAACTCCCTGTTCACCTCCATCTCCACAAAGCTCAAGCCCGGAAAAAGGTATCTGTCATACATCTTATACAACGCCCCACTGACAAACACACAGTCTATCATCAGGTCGTACCAGGTATGCAGTAAATGCACTCGCTTGAGCGAGGCGGGCAGTAAATCTTTCAGCCGACCCCATGCGTAGCGGGGAAACACGACGCTAGCGTCTACACACAAATTCTCAAGCTTGTACAAGTCAACGAGTGACGCGGGGATCCAGTTCGGCGCCACACGCCTATCCGTCGCCCCCGTGTTATACAGCGCCAGATGCCTTAGCGTCTCCCTATGTTTCCTCAGCGCATCAACAACGACGCCGAAATGAATAGTCGTTGGTCTATCGAACTTAGTCCACAGCTGGAACCTATGGTTATGATTCCGCGCCATGTGATAAGCAAAATGTGACAGCGACTTGCAGCATCGTATCACCAGACTCAAGACGTCGACGTGGAGGTAGCCGCCGCGCAGAGTGAGATGGCGGACCGTGGATGTGTGGTCGGGGAAGAGGTTGGCGTCCCAGTGCCAATTACAACGTGACTGGGGTTCCCGGAGGTTCCAGACTTCTAGTTGGTGTAGGTTGGGTAGTTGGAGGAGCTTTGCGATGCGGTCGATGTCTATGTGGGGGGTTCGTATAGTGACGTTTTTGAGGAGGTTGTAGTTTGGTGGCGTCGCTAAGAGCGGTCCGGGTAGAAAGGGGATTTCCCATGGCCGCGTGGATACCATGATGGAGAGCTCTGGGAGCTTGAGTCTGCGGTAGTGGCCTTCCACGGCATACTTCAGAGTATGTATGTTTGGTGTGTGGAGATATAGTAATGCACACGCTGCAGCCCCGAAGTGAACATCTGGAGCTTGTAGTAGCCGTTTTACAACAGGATCTGTAGTTAAACCCTGCAAGTCTTCGAGGGTTACGGGAGGGGTATTGGGGTCATCGCTGTTTAATATCGCTATTCGGTACTTCTGGTTCCGATATCCATTCCAGACTGCATTTAGCTTGAGCGAGCGCACCAGGGCGGCGAGAGACGGATGGCTGAGGAGGGTTCGTATGAGAAGGACGGGGTTGAAGTCGGCACCGGCATGAATGTTGGCGTAAAGCGCTTCCGTCGCGGTTGGGTTGAGAGGCTTGACAAGACAGAACTTGCAGAGTACTTTCTTGGAATTCGCATCGGTGGCCGCAGCGAAGTCGGCAACTTTCAGAAGCAGTTCTGGTGGTAGATCCCCGATACCCCTGGGCGAGTGCCCAGTAGTTACCTGTAGTGTGTCATCATCGTGGGTTTGTGTTGAACTCATGACTGCCAAGGATTTGGTATTGGCCAGATGCTGACGATGTGGAAGATTGGCGAGTGTAACTTTCAGGGTTGTACCAGCAGTAAAGGCCATGGAGGAACCTTCGAAATTGTGTTAAATGAACAGCAAGCGGGCGATGGCAATAGTGAACGTAAGCTGATGCCATTGTGTGAAGCTTTCTGACCGCAGCGGGTGTGAAAGCCGAGTAATTGCAGAAGACCAGTACGCGTATATTGCTGATAGTGAATGCAAAGGAAATGGGGTATCGTATGCTCCTTCACCCAAACGCCAGTAAATGCAATAGTAGTGTCGTGAAACGGTCGTCAATCAATGCGTACGCGTGCGGTCAATCCGAGTCGTATCCCACCAACGCTCCAAGCAGGGCCGGCTTCTTCGTCGCTACCGCGGTGTCCGGCTTTTCCTTCTCTTGACCCGATGGCGACGAGATCGCAACTGGGTCTTTCGTCTCAACATCTCTCTTCCTCTTCAGTATGCCGAGATTGACTCTCGGGGTCGCTGGAGCCTCTTTGTTCAGGAATGGATCAACCACAGCCCTCGTATTGCCGACCAGCGTCTGCTGCAACCCTAATCTTGACTTCTCTTTCGCAACTTCCACCTTAAGCTTCTTCGTCTTCCTCGACGACTCCCCATCCTTCTTATCCTCCACCTGCGCCTCCCCAAAAAGTGGTTTCCACGAGAGCGCTTCCAACGACCCCTCGTCAGTCGTGGCGGCAACGCCAAACTCCACAAGCCCAGCCCTCGTACGATCCGCCTCGATCTCATCCACAATATCCAGCCCCAAACTAAACCTCTCCTGCATCCCCTCCTTGTGCCTGTCCTCCCTTTTCCACACCTTCCTCTTCCCACGGAACACTTCCCTCAACTTCGCATTAACATCGTACGGATCGCGCCAAACCTCCGCTTTATCATACAACTCCTCCACCCTCTCCCTATTCTTCTTCTCAATCCCTTTATCCTCCATCTTGCCTTCTAGATTCGCAAAAGCATCGTCCCTCCTCTTCTGCCTCTCCTCCTCTGTCAGGAACTTGAGCTCGCCATCCGCTGTATCGTCCTTGGCAGTAGGTCCATAGTCGCGTCGTCGTGCCCCTTCAACGACTACGTATTCGCTGTTCTGTGGATCGGTTCGTATCTCCCACCACCCGCCGCACGCGCTGTGCTTCATGCGGAAACTCCATATTGGGGTGGTGTGGTAGTTTCCTACTTTCTTTTTTTCGGCGTTGAATCGGACGCCTTGGCCGATGATGGCGGGTGGGGTGCAGTGGTTGCACCATACGGCGAAGGGGAGTTCGAAGCGGACGGTTAGGATGCCTTGGGTGATCTTGTTGGCGCGTTTGCCGAGAGGGTGCGAGGAGTTGTTGAAGCTGGGTGGGTTCGAGGCGTCGGGCGGGTAGTACCGCCCCATGTTGAAGCCCTGCATCGCGGCGGGTGGGGGAGGGAGGTTTACGCAGCGTGCGCAGGTTCGTGGTGGTTGAGAGGTTCATTGCGTGAGCGACGGTCGCGAAATTTGGCCGCGGGAGTGGATGACGTAAGCATAGCCTTGCTATCCATCCATGGATGGCTGTGACGCGACTGTCACGCGACGAGGCTCTTTCACTGGAAGACGCGTCGTGACGTCATGGACTTCTGCGTCTCGCTAGCCTTCATGCACACGCATCCAACTTCCTGACTTGGAAGGTCAATTAAGGTTGCTGTTGATTGCGGCACTAAAAGGCTTGTCTCACAGCAGTGCCGTGACGCTTATCTCCGAGCCCTGAGAACCATACATGTACAGTAGAAGATCATCACACACAGGATCTCCAATGACTAGAATCGGAAGAATACTCGTCATCATATTGTTCGGATGCTCGGTCTATGCTAGCCTTACGTCCAAACGCCGTGGAACCTCAGGCTATGTTGCCTCAATGGCGACAGCTTTTCGTCAATACGGATATCCTGCTCCTCCTCTTCCTCCTCGTAGGCTGATCATGCGTCGTTTAATCAACCATTTAAGCCTCGTCGGTGATGAGCTTGGTGATCTTGCCAATAGCGATCGTCTGACCCTGGTCACGAAGAGTGAAACGTCCCAGCTGTGGGTAGTCCTCGAATCGTTCGACACAGATATTTCCCGCTGTGCCAGTGATCTGCAAGCGCGCGATGATGCTCATGCCCTTGGTAGCGAAACCCGGTGCCTTCTTCGACTTCCTTCCAGTGCCCTTCTCCAGCTTGTGCAACAGAGCGGTGATGGTAACCTCTTCTTGTGCGGCGTGGACGTGGAGCACGCAGTTGAATCCGGCTGTCAAGATAGACTTGATGTCAAGCAGTACGACCTGGGCCTCGAATTGGGAGACGCAGTGCACAGGGCGCTTTGGTGAGCACAGCACATATCCCTGAACATGAAAGTTAGCAAGCGATCAAAGAACAGCATCTGGGTTATCTTACAGGCAGAATGTCTTCCTCCTCAACACCCCGAAGCCTCACACGGATCTGGTCTCCGCAGGTCGCGCCTGGGATTTCCTCTTCTTGTTCACCGTACAAAGCGGAAATGTGGATAGTTTGTCGGTTGGGCATCATGAGGTACCTAATATCGTCAGTACAAAGCAGATCAAAGC